TTGTTATTTATTTATTTTTTAAAAGGTAGCATTTTTTTTCACCATCCCTTTCCTTGCTAGAGGGTGCAACAGGACATGACTGGTGTGTTAAAAAGAAAAAAAAGGCTATCACACTGTATCAACAATCAAATTGTATCAATAATACATGTAAAGAATTAAAAAAAAAAGTGATTCTGTTCAACTGGATGCAGGGTTTTCAGTGGGAAAAATATTTCATTACCCACTCTGTGCCAGCTGACTGCAATGGAAAAAAGATTTATCACGATATGAATTATTTTATATCACGATAACAATATATATCACGATATACCACCTGACCTGTGGTCATCTGGAAAGTACGCAGTCTGTAAACAGCGACCGCAGATGGTGCAGTCTTTGTTAATGAAATGGATGGTTGTGCTCATGTAGGGCGTATCTCTGCTCGTCCATAGGTCAGTCATCAAGGCATAATGCACAACACTGCAAACATCCTTCTCTACTTTGGCCCGGCATGCGTCATATAAGCAAGGCAACTTGACTTTACTGAAGTGCTTACGTACCTCGGATCAAGGACTTTGACGAGGTCACGAAAGCTGTCCTTCTCAACTACATAAACAGGGGCCATGCCTTTACAAATGTAACGCGAGATGGCTCCTGTGAGGGGCTGGGACGTTTTCTCATAAGGGCCTTGTGTGAAAGACTGCCGTATCTTCAGCTGGCTATAGTTTTTCTTTTCCCAACTTGCTGCAAAGAAACAGCATGTGCATCAAAATAAACTATTTCCAACAGTGTAATTTGAGTTGTACGCATCCCAGAAATTATACAGAAAAGCATAAAGTCAAACATAACTTTTAAAATCACCAGTATAGGCTTATAAAGCCCTGAAAGTATTTTTCAGGGAAAAAACTTCATTTTCCGCGAAAATGACGTCACTTCCGGTTTTGATCAGGTAATGGCGGACATGCTATAGTTCGCGCTGACCTATATTCCAACGTAGGAAGTGTTATGAACAGCTGATCGGATCAGCAAAGCGTGTTTCTGGAATATTATGTTTTTGTTGCTGCTAGTGCTTTTTATGCAATTTTTGCAAAGCTATATGTGGAAGGAAACCGTGACCTAGGGCAAGCTAATGGCATAAGATGTACGTACAACTCCTCCGGTTTTATATGCAAAAAATTTTATTGCGCTAGCTTACGTGGTTCCAATTCTACAGGGAGTTAAAAATAGTTATACAAAATGGAGCGTGCCCGCTCCGACCGGTTTTAAGGGGTTAATGATATATTTTATGTAATAATTTATAAAATTAGGTTAGAAACGATAGAAGACAAATGGCACGATAGACACTTTTCTATCGTCCACACGATATATATCGTCATATCGCCCAGCACTAGCTATGAGTACTGTGAACAGAGAGTTGGGGAATGGAGCTCGATCTTACTTTAAAGCTCATACTTAAATCTTTCCTTTTTGGTAATGCTTATGGGCTAGTTACGGATGGATGCTGGCGGCTTCCCCTGATGTACTGGGTGTGATTTTTTTTCACTGTCTTAAACCAGTATCAGTAATTATCAAACTATGTCTCTAATATAGTGTGTATTTTTTCTCATCTCCCTTTGCTCTCTCTCCTTTTCGCTTTTCACTCCCAATCAGTTGCAGCAGATAGCTGCCCCAGTGCGAACATTGCTCTCCTGGGGCTTTCTTCCTGTCAACAGGGAGTTTTTCCTTCCCACTGTCACCAAGTGGTTGCTCATAGGCTTTTTTTCTCTCCAATATTGTAGGGTCTTTACCTTTCAATATAAAGCGTTTTGACCTTTGTGAATTGGCATTATACAAATAAAAAATTGATTTATATAAAACTGAATTAAGTAGTTTTTGAAAAGGGGTTTAAAATAATTAAGTCATGGGTA